CTAACACGAATTGGTCTTTGTTGAGGTTCCTTGTTTACCTTCTATCAGTCAGGGCCCTTATGTATGCTACACGGTCCTGGGTGAGGCAAAAAGAAATCCTTCAGCTCCTGGCCACTCCCAGAGCTGCACAGGTCCAGGCTGTCTTCAGGAATGTTTCCTCCAATCATGTCTGCCTGCAGCACCATAAAGTTCACATTGACTGTGCCTGTCGGTTGCAGTACTCTGGAGAAAAGCTCCCTGTGCTGTTCAGATTGCCCTGGGATGCCATGGAGTAGAGGCTTTCTTTGGGCAAGGGCCTGGTGGGCAGGGCGAGCATGGCATTAGGCAACACGTGTCCTTCCTTTTATTAGGGCATGAAGGTTCGTGACAGTATGGAAGGCACAGGCTCCTTCTCAGGTACAGGCACAGTGCACTAAGCACATGAACACAGCAAACTCACTTGGTTCTAGGTGCCCATCCTCGTGAATGGTCATTAAGGTCTTATATGCTATGTAGGATAGCAAGAGGTAGCTTTGAAATTGGTGAGGACTAGCTTGACCTTGTCTCTGCAGAGCAAGCCATTGATGAGGAAGACATTTTTTAAAATTCCATCACATTTTGCCTGTTTTTTTTTCAACCCTCACAGCACAGTGGGCCTCTGCTGAATGTAGCATGACCATCATGGGATTGCTTATGTTGTGGAAGCTGTGCCGGCATGTTCACATGCAGATAATCAAAATGTCTTGGTGGCTCTTCTGGGCAGAGGTCACCAGTCTCAGTGTAACATAGAAACCTGTCTGAGTCTGCCAAGAACTAGAAACCAAGGATTATGTGTAGGACCCCAGACTTCTATAGTAAAAGCACAGATTCACTTGCCCCATATGTTCTGGATCTCCCTGCTTGTAATGATTCATACAATGAATTTTTTTCTTTTTCCTTTTATTTATTTGTTTATTTTGACAGGCAGAGTGGACAGTGTGAGAGAGAGACAGAGAGAAAGGTCTTCCTTTGCCGTTGGTTCACCCTCCAATGGCTGCTGTGGCTGGCGCGCTGCGGCCGGCACATTGCGCTGATCCGAAGCCAGGAGCCAGGTACTTCTCCTGGTTTCCCATGCGGGTGTAGGGCCCAAGGACCTGGGCCATCCTCCACTGCACTCCCAGGCCACAGCAGAGAGCTGGCCTGGAAGAGGGGCAACCGGGACAGAATCTGGCGCCCCAACCGGGACTAGAACCCAGGGTGTGGCGCCGCAGGCAGAGGATTAGCCTATTGAGCCGTGGCGCCAGCCACAATGAATTTCAATCTAGTGTGAACCAATCGGGAGAGGAAGCTGAGTGGCACTGTTGTCTTCTCACAGATTCAGGCTCAGGGTATTCAGGATCATTAATTTTTCTTTTATAAAATATCTATTCATGCCTTTGTTTTTCTATTTTGTTATTTTATTCATTTGAAAGGTCTTTGGATATTAAGGATACCTCTTGTTCATGTGATATTTTGCACTTTTCTTAGTTTCTTATTGCATTTGTTTGAAATTTTTATTTGTTTGAAAGGCAGACCAACAGGGATATCTCTCATACTCTGGTTCATACCCCAAATGCTTGCAACAGCCAGAGGGCCAAAGCCTGGAGACAGGAACCCACCCAGGTCTTCCACATGAGTAACAGGAACCAACTAGTTGAGCTTTCACTTGCTGCCTAGCAGTGTACATATACGCAGGAAGTTGGAGTAAGGATATGGAGCTGGGGAATCAAACTCAGGCACTCTGATATGAGATACAAGTGTCTTAACTGACATCTTAATGACTAAATTAAATGCCTGACTTTATTTTTAATGTACAGAGATTTAATTTTTATGGCTCCTAACCTCACTCATCAACTGGGATTACCCTTAATAAAATTATCAATGACCTTTTGGTTGTTACATCTAATGGACACTTTTGTAGGTTTCATCTTCCTGATCTGTTCACTTAAGAACAAAGCAGTATGGGTCACAGTTGAGATATGTGGTCCATATTAATTTGAAGCATTTCTGCCATCTTTAAATAATAGCTTCCAAAGTCATTAGAATCATAATGAAATTAAATGCTACTCAGCAAATTCATTTTTGGTAAAATTAAATGCAAATAATCAGGTAAGAGGGCATTTAGTACATTCTTTTCTGGTTTTTATTTTAAAAATAAGTCAAATGTGGTATGGAGCCAGATGTGAAATTTGAATCAGAAATACAGAAACTAGAGATTAAGAAAGAATCAGAATTTTGCCAGGCAGGAGTTAGAATCATGGTACTATGAAAGGAAGATGTATTAGTTCCCCAAGATTGTCCTAAGAAAGTATCACAGACTGAGTTAAAACAACATAAATTAATTTTCTTCCACTTCTGGAGCCTGGGAACTGCAAATGAAGGTGATGGCAGGACCAGGCTCCCTGTGAAGCTTTTAGAGGAGGATCCTTCATTGCTTCATCCAGCTTTTGGTAGTTCAAGACTTCCCTTCCTGTGTGGGAGCCTAACTCCAGCCTCTGCCACATTTTTTACATGGCCATTATCTCTATGTATCTCTGTCTAATTTTCCTCTTCTTAATATGATTACTCTGCAAATACTTTATTTCCAGATAAAGTCTTGTTGGGTGCTGGATTAGGACTTATCTTTTTTGGGAGACCCAATTCAACCCATCACAGGTCAGAAGCAAGTGAACGGAAGAGATCTGAATCATGTGAGGTTTCTATAATGTCAGATAAAAGTTGAATAATTGAGTAAAAGTAATATAGTTTTGTTAGATCAGCAGAGCAAAAGGAGCATCCATGAGTTTTAAGAAATAGAATGAGAAACAGCTCCATGAAATCCTTCATATTTGTATTTGGAATATTTAGTGATTTAAAAATTGATTGTATTTCCAATTTATTTTGTGAGTAAATGGGAGTTTACTGTGAGAGTTTAGTGTTCGATTATGATAAAATTCTTAGATATCTGTTGGAAGGGAAATGTAAATATCTAGTATTGAAAATTTAAAATTTATCTTAAATTGGCAATTCAGTTTTTTTAAGGGCATATGGAAGAATCATACTCAAGTTGAGGGAGCAAAATTAATCCAATACATGTAATTTTTTAAACTAATTAAAGCAATGTTGGTTTGGAGATTTATTTCTTGTTACAAATTGACCTAAGATAGACTTTGAAGATATTAAATGAAATGTCAGAAACTTGGACTACAAAATACACATACAATATTTCACATATATGGCTAAGAGGAACAGCATACCACAGAGGTTGATTACACAATTTTCAAATCAGAGCAGTCTGATTAAAACCTGTGTCAATTTCTTTATAAAGTGAATATTTTTAACTTCCTTACATATTAGAAATATAGGACCCAGTGGTGCAGAACAGACAAAAATGAACCACAACAGGTTAATCTGCAGGAGCAGCATCTTTTCCAATCAAGTTTCCCCCAGTTGCACTCAACAAATATTCCCTGAGCACTGCCAAGAGACAGGAGCTGTTTTATGGTTCTGGATCCATGAATGGGAACAGAACTTATATATTTGGCTAAGATAATCTTCTGACATTATGATCAATTGTCTTAGTCATTTTGGGCCCTATAACCCTAGACTTAGTAACTTAAAGAACAAGCATTTATTTGTCACACTGTGGAGGCTGGGAAAATTAAGATCAAGATTCTGGCAGATCCAGTGTTTGGTGAGGATCCTGTTTCCTATTTTGTAAATATTTACCTTCTAGTTGTTTCCTCAGCTATTGGAGGGCAGAGACAGAAATAAGCTGTCTTGGGACTCTTCTGATAAGGGCATTAACCCCATTCAGGAGGGCTGCATCTTTATCACTTAAGACCCTCCCACCTCCTAATACCACAACACTGGGTGTTAGGTTTAAATTAATGAATTTGGGAGGAGTGGCACAAATATTCAGCCCCAAAATACTAAAGCATGTAAAATAAGGAAAATTATTCAATTCACTTTTGTGTTTTCTAAGGGGCAATGTAACATAAAGAAATTTAAAATATTTCCAGATTAATGAAGTCATAAATATTAATTAGCATATGTTTATTACTTTGTTTCCTGAGACTATATTTTAAAAGTCTATTTTCTCCTCTTTTACTTTCCTCAGACTAAAGCACTTTGGTTTTAACCATTTCTTCTATGCTATGAGCTTGTTTTATCTGTATTCTAAATCCAAATAATTTTATCTATGATCTGATTGACTGATGTTCCTCTTTTTCAAAGCTTCAGTTTAAAGTTCTTATCTACAGTGGGGGATTCTGCTCCATGTGGTTATTTAAGAGTCTACAGTGATTGCCTCGAAAGATGCATTCCATCTCACTTGACATAGACTTATTCTTTCATTTGGCAATCTTTAGGTGGAACTTTTTTTTTTTTTGAAAGAGTTGAAAATAAAAAATAAGTTTCTTGAGAAGGAAAACATGTCTTCTTATTTTTGATACAAAGTGGTTACAGTTACTGAAGAATAAGGACATAGGAAAGGAGCTTGCATGGAGATGAATGTTAGGACTCAAAAGTCTTTGGAAAAATATTAACGTTCTTCTAAGTATATATGCATATGGTGGTAGAACATTACCACACATGTGTTAGTTGTTTTATCCAACAATTGAAAATAGGCTGCTGCATTCTGAGTTCTGCATTATAAGTATCTATGATATTAGGATGAAAAAACAGAATTGAATGTTTAAAAGCATCAACTTAATTAATTGGAAGGTAGCATTGCTATTGTTTACTTGATGAATCTTTGGTGGACAAATACTTTATTTCAAAAAGTAGAGTCTGCTTTTCAGCCATTGCCTACAAATATATACGAAATTTAAAAAGTTTTGGGAATACTACTAACAGAACCTTGTAGGGAGAATTGGCTGTGATGTCATAGACTCCTGAGGGAAAATTCTACAACTAAACCTTCTATTTAGTTAGATACTAAACAAGAAAGATGATTACTGAATAAGATGGGATCCAACAAGAGCGTAGTACAGTTTTCAATAATTTATGGATTACCTTTTTCTGAGGGAGCTCAACATAGGAACACTTAATGAAGGAAGGCAAGACTTAACCACTTGATACATTTGTTATTCTTGATGATTAGTTATTTGAAGATCATTATATCTCAAATTCACAATTCTTAGAAATGGAAGAAATTGATGAATCTGATCAGCCTATCTCTGTAGGGAGGCAAGAAATTCGAAAGAGAAGACGACCTAGCCAACCAATGGTAGACAAATCACAGCAGACAGAAGTGATAGAGAAAAAGAAACACCTGGCCATGCCACAGTCATCTGGCCCCAAAGCTACTCTCAGTATTGGTAATATTTCTGGATGCAAAGGCAACTATGGTGCCAAAGAATATGAGTCTATTAGAGTATCTTCCCAACTTCAACAAACTTGGATGAAGAGAAAGCGTGGTCAGGAAATGACTGATAGATCGCTGCAGACAGACACCCTCATAGAGGAGGAAAAAGAAATCAAACTCATTGATGAGATGGTAGTACCTGATGAAAAGCCAACCAGCGAGGGAGAAGCAGCCTCTGAATTGCAAGACAGTGCTCAAGAAGTAGAAATTCCATCAAGCAGACACTCAATTCATCAAAAAATAGACAGATCTCAGCAGACCAGTTGTACTGGAGACTGGACCATATTGAACATTCCACCCAAAGAGAAAGTGGACAAGGAGCAGCAGACATGCTTTAGTGAATCACAAATAATGGTTATTTCCAAGCCAAGTAGTTCTTTTACAAGGTCAAAGGAAGGTGTCCAGAAGTTTATATCCTCAGGAAAGATTTTTGCTGGTGAACATCCTGAATTTCAGCCAGAAACAAGTAGCAGTGAAGAAATTAGGCATAAAAGTGCCAGCAGATCTTCTTTTACTCAGGTACCTGCAGAAGCTACTGTAGTACCTTTAGAAGATGAATTTAGGCAAGAGGGAACTACACTTGTTGTAGAAGAGGCTTCTTTTGAGGCAATGGGGGTTCCACCAGTGCAAAAAGTCTGCAGTGAATTGCATCTTCCCATTGTAGAGATGGCACATGGTGAAGTGCAGCCTGCACCAGCTGAGGAGGCCATAGCTGAAGCAGAGCCTAGCCCTGCGGAGGAGACCCCTGTCCAAACACTGCCTCCAGCTGAAGAGACCGGTGCAGATGGGCCACCAGCTGAGAGACCTCCTGCTGAGGAACCACCTATATCAGTCGAAGAATCTCCTGTTGATGTCCAGCCTCAACCCCCTGAGGATACCCTTGAAGATATTCCAGCTGAGGTAGAGCCCACTCCTGCTGACGTGCAGTCTCCACCCGCTGAAGAGGGTCCTGAGGAAGGTACCTCTGTGGAAGTAGCCCCTGAAGAAGAGACCCCTGCTCAAGTTCAGTCTCCATCAGCTGAGGATGACCTTGAAGAGGCCCCTCCTACAGCTCAGTCCCCACCTGCTGAGGCGGCTCTTGCCGAAGAGGTTCCTCCTGAGCTTCAGCCCCCATCCGCCGAGGCGGGTCCTGCTGAAGCTGAGCCTCTCCAGGCTGAGGAGGCACCCATGGAAGAGACCCCTGATGAAGCTCGGCTTCCTGCAGCTGAGGAGACGTCCGTAGAAGAAGAGGCTGCTCCTGAAACTTGGTCTGCAGCAGCTGCAGAAGCTCCCACGGGAGAGGCCTTGGCTGAAATTCAGGCTCCGCTATCTGAAGAGGCTACTGCAGAAGACGGCCCTGCTGACGAAGTCCCTGCTGAGAGTCAGTCTCCACCGGGGGAGGAGGTGCCTGCTGACGAGGGCCCTGCTGAAGCTCAGGCGCCACTAGATGAGAGGGCTCCCATAGAAGAGGCCTCTCCTGGCACTCAGGCTCCATCGGCTCCTGGAGAACAGATCCCTGACGAAGTTCCATCTCCACCAGCCGACGAGGCTGCTGTAGATGAAATCTCTGAAGAAGTTCAGATCCTGTCAGCTGAGCACGCCCCAGCAGGAGAGGCCTTGGCGGGAGTTCTGTCGCCACCAGCTGAAGAGAGCCCTGCTGAAGTTCCGTCTCTGACAGGTGAGGCGACCAGAGAAGAGGCGCTGCATGACGCACAGGCTCCAGGAGCAGAGGCAGTTCCCGCGGAAGAGGCCTCTGCCGAAGCTCCGTTTCCACCCACTGATGAGGCCACTCCTGAAATTCAGCCCCCATCTGCTGAGAAGGCTCCTGTCGACGAGATCCCTGCTGAAATTCCACAGCCAGTGGACCAAAACTCTGCAGATGAGGCTCTGGTAGAGAATGTGCAAACTGAATTGCAATCTCCCCTGGTCACAGGCACTGCAGGTGGAAAAGGGTCAGATGATTTGAAAGCTGATAAAAAATCTGAAGATGCTTCAAAAGTGGATCCTGTTCCTGAAGATTTTTCTAATACCAAAGACATGGTGATTCCCACTATTGAAGTAGAGGGCGTCATTCGTGTAGAAATAAAAAATGCTTCCTCCTGAGCCATGGTCCGGTCTCAAAAAAGATGCAATGAGAAAATTGTAAGGTTCTGCAAGTACATCCTTCAGAGAAGTGTAGGCATTTGCAAGTAGCTTTGTGAACAGGGCAAATGAAGGGAACTCAAGTACTTGAAATTAAGTTGGAAAATGAGCAATAAAATCTACAGTAGTTCAGAATTACTTGTATTATTTTCATTCAAATTTATAGCACGGAAAAATACGTATTTTGAAATGAAGTAAGTTTATGATTGAATCATTGCTCAGAATACCTTTCTATAGTAAACCATTGACAAGGACAGAGTCTGCTCTGCATCCATATTTTTATTTGTCTGCTTTGCTTCATAAATACAGATTGCTTCTATTGGAGATGCCTCTTTCCTGAAATCTGTTATCTACCTTAAATTTTGAGTTTTAGTCACATAGCTAAACTTAAAATGTTCTACTTATTATAATTCATCTCATTTCCTTTTCTCTTTCCATTCAGTTTCTTCTGAGACAAGCATTACTTTCCTGGTTTCAATCTAAATGTTCTCTCCTGTATTTTTGCATATTTTACATTTCAATGTCTAGACAGGGAAACTTATTTCCCTTACAAAAATCTTCATTCTAGTGAAATAAAGATGGTCATAGATGAAGTATTTTAAAAAGGTATGTAAATATAAAGAAATATGCTCAGATGGCCTGGAAGGTATATCCCTGTATAGTTTTCATTTCATTTCCAATGAAAATGTAATGAGTCCTTTGGAAGCATGGCTTAGGTTTTCTGTATACTGAACTTGTTATGAAGAAAAACTTAAGATAAAATTGGATTACTATAGTATAAAGTATTAAAGACTTTAAAGAGTTTCAAAGGTTAGCAGAATCTTAAGTATTTTCTATGTCTGTTATTGAAGAACCTCTAGATTTCTATGTTTATGACAACTTCTATGAAAATATTTTATCTAGCTACAAATCAGTTACAATGTGCTAAAATGTTGAGATGATTCTCTTAGAAAATTTTTTATTTGGTTATTGTATTTCTCTGTTTACTGAACATGCTAATGATTCAACACTTTGCTAGCCTTTGTCTTTTAATTATAACATTTTTGGGGTCAAATTCTTAATTACTTTAGTAACCAAGTGAATTTTTTAGAATTTTGTAAAAAAAATTGTAGCATCCTCTTTTGTGTCTTTTGTGTATTAAAGATTTAAGTTTGAGAAACTTTATTCTAGACTATGTAGAATGAATGTTGCATTTGAAATTTGCAAATTCTTTCCATTTTATGTTTTCTGAGATACTTAAATCTAGTTAAACTTGGTTTTCTGAAGAAGTGTTAAAACTTTTATTTGATTCTCCATTCTGTTGTTTTTCTTTTTAAATCCATAAATCATGAAAATTCAGAACTATATTAGAGTGAGAGTATGTATAATAAAAAAGGAATTTATCAACTGGTAACACTAGAGAACTTTTCACGGTTGAAAGGTGGAATTGAGCTAGAGCTGAGGTAGAGCTTATGGCATAGTCCAAATGGATAAAAATAGTCTGTATACAGTAAAATATGTTTTGAAGGTTTTGGAATCAAGAGAATTGTAGATGTAAATTATAGCAGAGATAGCTGTGGAAATTTAGGATAGGAAACACTGATTTTGGAGAGACAGATATAAGTATGAAAATATTTTGAATAGCTAGAACAGGAAAATAGGGAGATTTTGATTTTCAAAATCAGGTGCTGGCAAAGATTCAGGATGAATAGGAATATATACACAGAATATTTTCTACCTAATGTAAGAATGACACTAGACTGCTAGGAGTAAGATTTTAAAAATCCATTTAAAAAATAGGTTTACTAAAGTATAATGTAATACAACAATTGCCTTTATTTTAATCCTACAGTTTGATGAGTTTAGCATCCTGTATAATTGTGAAATCATCACCATAATCAAGATAGTGAATATAGTCATTACTCAAAAGTTCCCATCATGACCACTCATAACTTTTTTTCTCTATGCCCACCTCCACACCCAAGACATAGCCCCCTAGTCACATGTGTTTTCTGTCACTATATATTATTTTGTATTTAAATTTTTATTGATATATAGAGAACAGATTTCGTGTATTTCATAGATACTCTTCTAAGAAGACAGACATACTTCCCTCCCTCCATCAATCCACCTTCTTTCCTTTCTTTTTCTCCTTTAATTTTTGTAATAACAATTTCAATTTACTGTGGCCAATGTTGTGGCATAACAGACAAGGTCACTGCCTGTGACACCAATATTCCACATGAGTGCTGGTCAGAGTCCTGGCTGTTCCACTTTCCATCCAGCTCCCTACTAATGCTTGTGGGAAGGAAACAGAAGATGGCCTAAGTGCTTGGGAGACCCGGAAGAATCTCCAGGCTCCTGGATTTTGTCTGATAACAGCCTGGCCATTGCAGCTATTTGGGGAGTGAACCAGCAGATGGAAGACCTTTCTCTCTCTGTCTCTTATACTCTCTTTGTAATTCTGCCTTTCAAATAAATATATCTGAAAAAAATGTTTTTTCAGTTTACTTTCAATCACAGGTTTAGCGTATCACTAACAATAATGTTCAAGTAAAAAGTAGAAACATCACCGTTCCAGAGGAATATAGACAAGGCCTATGAACAGTAATCAAATCGTAAGATATAAGTTTCATTTTATACTGTTTTTGTATTCTGGACTTTTATGTAAATAGAATATAGTAGTGTATTTGTATTCTATTATATAAATATTGTACATTTTCTATAGTTACTATGGATAAGGCTGTCATAAACGTTCATGTATGTGTCTTTGTATGGACATATGTTTAGATTTCTCTTGAGAAATTACCTAAGAAGAGAATGGCTAGGTTGTGTGTTGGGGATGTTTAACTAAAAAAATTGCCAACCTGTTTTTCAGAATCATGTACAATTTTATATTCTATCTGCTGTTGTCCTATATTCTTGTTAGTACTTGGTGTAGTCAATCATTTTCATTTTAGCTACTCTAGTGGGAATAATATAATGTCTCCTTGTAATTCTAATGTATATTTCCCTAATGGGTAAGGACTTTGGGCATCCTTTAATGTGTTTATTTGCTACCTACTTATCTTCTTTGGTGAAGCATACTCATTTGCTTTTTTGTGTAATATTTAAGAATATTTACCAAACTGAGCATTGTCAAGATCTCTTTTTATGTTTCCTTCTGGGTATTTCATTGTTTTATATATTACACAGAACATTATTAAACTTAGGCTATTATACTTAGGTCCAGACTGTATTGTTCATTTTTTTAATGTGATGTGAGGAAAGTTATGAAGTTAATTTACTTTTTAGACTTATGGGTAACCCCTTGTCCCAGCACCATTTGTTTAAATGATTATCTTGTTTTCATTGAATTTCCTTGGAGCCTTTATTGAATATTAGTTGACCAAATTGTGTCTTTTTGTACTTCATTTTGTTCCATTGATATCTTTGTCTTTTATATCAGTTCAACATTGTTTTGACAACAGATTTATAACAAATATTGAAATCAGATAGTGTTCTCCATATTTTCTTATTTTTAAATGATTTTAAAATGTAAATTAGGTATTTGACACTTCCATGCACATGTTTGAATTAGTTTTTAATCTCCAAAAATTTTCTTCTAAGGGACAGACATTTTGCTTAGTGTTTCAAGATGCTGCTTTGGATGCCCATATCCCATATCAGAGTGCCTGGTTCAATTTTTGGCTACTCCATTTCCAATCCAGCTTCCTGCTATTCATACTCTAGGAATTAGCAGGTGATGGCTCAAGTACATGTGTCTCTGCTACTCATGTGGGACCCCTGGATTGAGTTCCTGACTTTTGCTTTGGTCTAACTAAGCCCTGTATTTTATGGGATGGGTATTTGGAGAATAAACCAGTGGATAGATTATCTTTATCTGTCTTTCTACCTTTCAAACAAAATGAAGAATCAATAAAATTTCTAATGGAATTAATTCAACCTGAAGAACAAGTTATAGAGAAATGATCCTGATAATATCAAATCTTCTGATCCATGAATGCACTTAAGGATATACATCTCCATTCATTTGGAATTTATTTAATTTCTCTCAGCAATAATTTGTATTTTTCCATCTTGATTTTTTTATTTTGCAATTTTTATTATTGTTAAATTATAAATAAAATTGATCTTTTGAATTGAACTTGCATACTGAGATCATGCTACTTCAACTTACCTCTGGTAGCTCTTTTGTATAATATTAGAATTTTCTATAAAGACAATCATGTCATCTAAACATGTATTAATTTTGCTTCCTATTTGATTATCTTATTTATTAGTTTGTAACAGTATAAGCAGTAGATGCAAACATCCTTTTTTGTTCCTATTGTTCCTAATGTTAGGGAGACAGTATTCAGACTTTGACTATTTACTGTAATGTTACCTGTATATCTTTTTTGTTGATGGTCTTTATTATCTTGTTGATGAAGCTCCCTTGTATTTCCAGTTAGTTGAGAGTTTTCATTAGAACTGAATACTTAATATTTCCCCAGAAACCTTTTATTTAAGGTATACAAACTTCATGCATTTCATAAATACAATTTTAAGTACATAGTGATAGTGATTCTTCCCACCCTACCTAACCCTTCCACCCCCAAACCCTACCCTCTCCTAATCCCATTCTTATTTTTTACTAAGATCTACTTTCAATTAACTTTATACACAGAAGATTAACTCTAAGTAAAGATTTCAACAAATAGTATGGAAAAAAAACTGTTCCTCAACAGTTTTTTGATTTCCCTTTTGATTTTTTGTTCATTCAGGAGCATGTCATTCATCTGCAAGTGTTTGCACATGTTTGTTTTCAAGAGACTCTTGAATTGTTGATCTCTAGCTTCATTCCATTGTGATCAGAGAACATGCATGGTATGATTTTGATTCCTTCAAATTTCTTGAGACTTCCTTTATGGTCTGGCCTGTTGTCTATCCTAGAGAAAGCTCCATGCACTGGTGAGAAAAATGTGTATTATGCAACTGAAGGATGAAAAGTTCTATAGATATCCATTAGGTCCATTTGGGCTTTAGTATCTATTAACTGTTGTTTTGCTGCTGATTTTCTGTCTGATTGATCTGTCCCTTGCTGAAAGTGCAGTATTGAAATCCCCCATTATTATCGTAAGGGATTCTGTGTCTCCCTTTAGATCCATTAACATTTCCTTTAAATAGCCAGATGCCCTGTAATTAGGTGAATACATTTATTATAGTCACATCTTCCTATTGAATTGATCCCTTAATCATAGCAAGTGCCTTTTTTGTCTCTTTTAACA